AAAATTTTTTGTTAAGAACTAAATATCTAACTAGTACATACAACTTAAAGGAAAAGTATTGAAACTTAGCGACTGAATGTTGGATGTAGCGCACATTTAATATTTTTACGTAAACAGATTTAATATATTTAAAAAATATAGCGACATGTTTTTGCATGGAGAATCTTTTCATATTTTTATGTGACTACATATTAGGCGGACCAAGGACCTCTATCCTCTAGCCGACATATGCTTTTTTTCCATACGGTATATTTGGCAAAGAGCTCTGCCACTTTTTTTTCTCTTTTTTTTCCCTACCCATGCTGATGGCCTCGAGAGGCTATATTAGCTTTACTCTATCGTGTAGGTGAGCTCTCGGGGAGGCTCTCAAACCGGAGGTGTTGCTAATACTGACCCTAGCAAGAGCAGTGCTTCGTAGAATTTACCACCTGATCGGAAACGCGAGCCACTGAGAAGATCCGGCGAGAAACTCAGTGGGCTATATGCCTTTGCTGTTGACGGTCATCCAATTATACGTTTCGGAAGGTGTTGGTAACAGACGATCTTCTCAGTTGGTCGCAATTCCGATCCGGTGGTAGATTCTGCGAAGCACTGCACCTAGTGTTAGCATATTTTTTGAGTTTGAGCCCGTAAGCTCACCTTCCCGTCCGGTCGTAACTGGAATAGCCTCTAGACTACCAGCGAATAGGTAGAGAAAAAAGGTAACAGATCGCTAGTGACGTTTCAATGTGTCGCTTATGTTTATATATTTATCTTCTAATAAATAAGAACGCACTAATTCATTTGATTGTGATTAATTGTGATCAAGATTTGTTAAATTAGTTTTAGTTGCATTAAAAGTCTTCCCATAATATATGTATGTAGCTATTATAATTATTCTGGACGTGTTTGTCACTTGACTCCTTAAGCCGTTGGACTGTTTTGATGTTTTTTTTAATTTTCGAGACGGTCTATGGCTAGTTTATATTACTTTAGATTATACCCGATGGATGGCGCTGCAGTTAGTTTTAGTGTTTTCTCAGATTTTAATCACAATTCCTGGATGGCTTATATTTAAAATTGGAATTGGAAGACGGCGTATGTATCGCCGTTTTGAGATTCTGAGTGATCTTGTATATTTAGCGCAGGACATACACCGTTAGCTTTTTTTATTATAAGGTAGAGCATTTTTCGTTGCGATTCGATTTAAAGACCAAGAACGTTAATTTTATCTTTTATTCGTACGTTTAAGAACGTTTTAATACTGTATAAACTATTATATGTATATGTGTTTTCTACACTACCTTTGGTTGACTGATAGAGGGTAGAGAATGCCTTAAGTCCGTCGGCATTGAGTCCACCAATGTAAAATTTACATGAAGTGTAAAAAATAAATAAATAAATAAACGTTATACAATAATGACCTTTTTTTTGATGTTTTTGGGAAATTGCGTTTGCCTTCTTGTTGTACTGTCTGACAGAAATCTGTGTAAGACAAAACCTTGCGACTAACATTACATTTTCTCGCCTTTAATGTGGTCTTCTACGATTTCTTTTCGGAACGATGCTCCTTATGGAACGATGCGGAGGGGTACCCTAACCGGAAAAAAAACGTCCGTAACGTAAGATTTTTATTAGTAATGCACACAGTGTACGACTTAACTTTGTAATAACGTACAAAAAATAATATATTTTATTTATTATAATATATTTTTATAAATCATTGTGCATAAAATAAAGTTGATAGCTTTGTAAAGTAGTTTTATTTTATTTTTATCAATAAAAAAATCATAATAAAAAATGTATACCCGAATAATTATTGTCTTTATACCTCGAATAGAACTTAAAATTAAAATTTTTTAAATAAGGAACTTCGTTCCTATCCGGTGTCCCACGACACCACACATCTTTTTATCTATCTTAAGCAACTTCTTAATGATTCGAGATCCTCAATTCTGACTATGGTATTTTTCAGTCAATGTCACTGAGTTTTGTCTCTAATTTTTCATAAACTACTTAGATAATAACGCAGTGCTGTAGTTTGTTATTGGTTTTTTCACAAAAATCTCCTAACTCCTCTCCATTAACGATCAATTGTGCATTGTTAATTAATACGGAGTTGGCTTTTTATTTCTAACTAGCTGACCCGGCAGACTTCGTAGTGCCTCAATCGATAAATAAAAGACCTACACTTTTGTATAAAATAAACTTAAAACAAATAAAAGGAATCCGTCCGACGGGGAACACATCAAAGGAAAAACAAAATAATTATTTTTATTTAATTCCGAGCATTTTCATATTTATTTAACTTTTAAACTTTCTCTGGACTTCCACAAACAGTTCAGGACCAAAATGAGCCAAATCGGTCCAGGCGTTCTCGAGTTTTAGCGAGACTAACGAACAGCAATTCATTTTTATATATATAGATTATCGTCAAACAGAATTAATTAGTAAAGTTATGTGTATAGATAAACGTGATGCAGCAATTAAACATTTAAATAAGGATTCGTTTAAATTTTCAAATCAATTTGCATAATCTTACATTAGAATAATAAAACACATTATTCTTCCGGCGATTTCATGCTGCTGTTCGAATAAATGCGAATTAAATTATTTAATATATAATATTAAGTAACAATTTTTTTATTTTTATATATAAATTATCAGGAACTGGAAATAAATTTTACCGGTGGTAGGACCTCTTGTGAGTCCGCGCGGGTAGGTACCACCACCCTGCCTATTTCTGCCGTGAAGCAGTAATACGTTTCGGTTTGAAGGGTGAGGCAGCCGTTATAACTATACTTGAGACTTTAGAACTTATCTCAAGGTGGGTGGCGCATTTACGTTGTAGATTTCTATGGGCTCCAGTAACCACTTAACAACAGGTGGGCTGTGAGCTCGTCCACCCATCTGAGCAACAAAAAAAAAAACACGCACGGCCCCAAATTAGGATTGCCCGGATACTAGAGACTGATATATTATACATACGTCTACGATATACATACGTTTAAATATATATATATTTAGATAGTAAATACTCAGATAAAAAGCAAAAAAACCTGTTCATCATGCGAAAGTTTTGCTTGACGCGGGAGTCGAACCCACGAACCTCGGCGCAAGAGTTAGTGGTTCTAACAACTGCACCACGGAGACAGTCAAATAATGGAATGACGAATTTGATACTAGGGGATGTATTATTCTGTAGTCACGTGGACGGCGTATGTGGAATGTGCGCATTCAAAATGCTGTTAGCAATTTAATGCTTGAAAACTTCTTTATTACGCTTAAAGTATAATACCCGTAAAACGCGAATATTGAAATTGGACATCCCTATTTTACTTAGACTTTATTCACTTGCAGTTTTGTAACTTTTGTCGTGACTTACTAGGGTTGCTACGCTTTTTGAGATTTACATAGACTACTACTGGTCCGACGTACCGCGTTTAGGGACGGCGAGACGTATTGTTACTCTTTTAATGATGTGTCAAGTAGCAGCCTTAGTGTTTGAGTTTATCATGACGGCGATTTTTTGGCAATGGGCTTGCGATCCTCCAGCGATTTTCTAACATTCAAAATAGAAGTGCTGATGTGAGGCAAGCAGGCGGCTGATCGTAATGCTCATTATCAGCATGGCTTTTCCATTCATAAGAAAAACGTTTTCGAAAATTTTCAACATTTCCTCTCATAGTTTTGAACTTTAAATAATTTACACTGAAATTAGATGTGCAAATTTTTTTCCGGTCTGTTAGTAATATTTATTTTAGTTAACCTGTACAAAGTTTTGGCTTTCTTGATTTGACATTAAAATAATCCGTTTCCATAATTATATTGCTGAAGATACAATTAGAAAGGCAGTAAATAAGTTATTTAAAATAAGTATAATACGCGTGTGTACTTTTGATTGACCATTTTTTTTATCTAAGTTGCATTGGTATACTGCTGTTATTCTTTCTCTTAAAATACTCTATTGAAACATTATATCTAATGAAACTCCCACATTGAGATGAATCTAACAATATCTATCAATATTAATTCTCAACAAGGTTTAGAACCGTGGCAAAGGCAAATGTGTACTTACATTAAGCCAAGTTCAAGTTTGGAAACACAATATTTTGCTTCTTGTAGTGCGACAGTCAGATAAAAGTAATTGATTAATCGAATATTAAAAACCCATTTTTTAATATGCGAGAATCAATTACTTATAATACTAATAACTAATAGATAAAGTGTCAGAAAAATTTGTAGATTTAAAAATATTAACTTGTTTCTTTCTACATTTGTTAATACTTATTTATATTTTTTTGAACATAAAAAACTGTCTAGACAACTTATTTAATCTATTTTTGTAAAATGCGATGTAATAAAAAAATATTTTAAAATTATTAGCTTTTAAAGTGAGCCGGCGACAGTTTTTCGAATGCTTTAAAATAAAGGTCGTTATATTTTTATAATCTAATATATAAAATTCTCGTGTCACAATGTTCGTTCCCATACTCCTCCGAAACCGCTTGACCGATTCTCATGAAATTTTTTATGCATATTCAGTAAGCCTGAAAATCGGCTACTATCTATTTTTTATACCCCTAAGTGATTAGGGTTGTCCACCCCTAACATAATTTTTTTTATTTGGACTTTTTTTTTTGTTATAATGAGGTATTATGTGGTTGAATGAGGTTTTGTTATTTTTATTATATATTCCCTCATCATTCACAGCACTACATACCTCTTTCACTCATTTACCACATCCTTACACACTTACAATAAGTTACTTTTATTTTCTACACTAGAAATTCCCTAGAAATCTTATATATGGCAAAACAATGTTTGCCGGGTCAGCTAGTATTTTTATAATATGAACACTCTTTTTCAACCTAGATTCCTTTTAGATTCGTTTTTTTTTTAATAATAACATTTCTACGAACATCGAAACTTATCATCATAGTTTGCTATGTATTCTTTCAATTTAAACATAACTTATAAGTTTTTTTTAATGTTGTATTATTAATTTGAGTATTACTTACCAGTGTGACAATAGTCTTCCAAGTAATGCCGGGCCGCCCGTTGTACTATCGAATAGTAAAGACTGACAGAAGAAGCAAGCGCCATCTTCTCTAATCTTCACACTCTGTTCTCCGTATCTCGTGCAGTTAGTTAAAGATTCAAACAGAACATAACGCGCGCGCGAATCGAAATTAACGAAAAACAACAAAAGAAAACAGTTTTTTGTTTGCTATAAAAATTAGAATGTAAACAAAAACTGATCTAGTTTGAACTGCGTCTAGTTGCGGTTTAGTTTAATCAATCAACGAATACTTTTCTTTATTTCGTTTGAATCGATTTTTTTTTAAGTTTTATCGAAATATTATTTATCTTTTTTTATTGTTGCATCGAAAATTTTATTTTTCACGTTCCCTCTCATTTTTATAAATGGATTATTATAATTTTTTTGTTTCTCGTAAAAAATTGTCCGACGTTTTTTTTATTTTATTGTTTCACAATTTCCACATCCCGCGCCGTTCAACTACCGCGGTCCAAAGTGTACGCGCGAAACGAAACACGTAATGTAAAATAATATGAAAGGTTGGGATGCGGCTGGCGCGCGCCGCTCCTGCAACAAGACTGAGGATCGTACGCGTTTTTTTGCTTCCCTGCCACGCGGAGGATGGGACTGAAATAAGTTCGAACCGATTTCTTTTGGTATTGCATCGGATTATTGTTTTAAACGATGCTTAATGTAATTCAAATTAAAATAAAAACTAGGTTTTGCACGAAAATGTTCTCCTTGAAAATTTTATAGATTACCAAATAAAGTTAAACTCTTTTTGATTCTAACGAAATGCTCATTTAACGTATTTTAAAGCTCTACATCAATAAAATAAATGATGGAAATTCAATGGGATTGAAAAATGAGAATTCTAATTAGATTCAGATTGGCGTCAAACATAAACAAATATGGCGTCCGTGAGAAAACGCGGGAAAATAAGTTTCCCGCCGAGACAGTACACTCGAGACGAGACATGCGTACGTAACGCAATGTTTACGTGCGCTTTTTTGTATACTCGAGCCACGAGCTCTTTTTACTTTATTCATACTTTTTTAACGTTTACCTCCTTGAGAATTTGAAGATTGCCATAACATCCTTTTTTTTTTTNTCCCGCCGAGACAGTACACTCGAGACGAGACATGCGTACGTAACGCAATGTTTACGTGCGCTTTTTTGTATACTCGAGCCACGAGCTCTTTTTACTTTATTCATACTTTTTTAACGTTTACCTCCTTGAGAATTTGAAGATTGCCATAACATCCTTTTTTTTTTTCAGAAGGCGCGCGTGGCAACTGTTTGTGTTGTATCGTTTTTTTTTCTTTTCTTTTTCGGAAGGTTTGTCGTTTTTTATGTATGTTATCAAAGCTATTTTTAGTCATTAGAAAATTATCGATGCTGACAGGTCGAGCTCGCTAGACGCATGTTTGTATCTAATTATGCAGAATTTATTCGTTAGATTCTGTCGAGAATTATAACGGGACGGCATCCAGACAGACTAATTAGTTTGATCGTCCGATATAATTTAAAATGTATGCAAATTAATTCATAACTTAATGCAAGTGTCGAATGTTTTTATTTAAATTATAAAAATTTGCACTCGTACGATTTCGATTTTCGTGATCTTCACAGTTACGTCACAACGTTAACATAATTAAAGGAGACGACGCAATTATGACGAAACCCTTTTAAAAACGATTCGCGTAAAAATAAAGAAAAAATGAGAAAAATGTTCATCAACGCGACACGACACCCCCGCAGCCCCCGCTTGTTCCCTCTCCCCTCTCGCCTCCGCTCCGGGCGGCGGGTGGCAAGTGAGACAGACACAGACTCCCATATACCCCTCTCTGTCGTTGCATCTCGCACCAAGTTTCATACGAAAACTACCCGCGGCGCGCATCCCTTCGCCAACCATAAAACGACTTAACTCCAATAGGACATTAAGCAATAACAATCCCTCCGAACGTACGCGAAATACAAATTTGGAATAACGGAGCTGAGGATATGTATGTAAATAAAAATAACAGCCTAAAGTTTCGGAGTCTTGCAACTGTGAGTCACAAATACATGAGCGCGAAGCTAAGTTTAGTTCGTGTTGGCACACGATGCACTCACCACTACACGCGCAACTTCCTTGTGTCGAGCTATGTGTGCGAGCGGCGCTTCTGTGTGAGTGCAAAAGTTCGTACACAAGTTTTCGGACGACTTTCTTTGTGTCCGTGATTTTTTTCGCGCCGCACGTACAGCTGTGTGCGTGAGCGAGTGTGATTTTTTCAAGTTTTTAAACACGCACACCATCGTATATCCTGTTTGTATTGATACGCCTGTGTGCGCGAACGCTCTTTGTGCTCGGGGATTCTAAAAAAATGTCGTATTGGATCGCAGCGCTAATGAATGATAGATACGATTGTGTCGTGTTCTTCTGCATACATAGCATTCGATTTGAATTTCGACTGTGCTCACGGATTATATTTGATTTTCCTTCTTCCAATTATCGTTTTTAGGATAATTGCATTAAGGTTTATTACCTTTTGCATTATTATTATGTGCATAAAAATAAAGTTAACAAGTTTACAAGTCACTATGCTTCTCCTGAGCAGATACACTGTCATAAGATTCTATGTTTTATTTTAACTCACCTGAGTAGGCAACACGAAGCAGCTACACGTTCCGTTCCGAAGAGTGAGATAACCGTTAGATAATTCAATTGAGACTCGACCTCATGCCTCAAGTCAAGTCGGGGCATTAATATTACTATAGGCTTACAACTTAACCCATTCACAGGTTTCGGAATACGCACTAGTAATTGAAGTCATAGCCTAAAAGATAAGACACTTGGAGTATTAACATCGGGTGATGCGAACGGGCCGGTGTTCGAATCCCGCAGGAATATACTATTTTTTCGAATGAATTACGTATTTAATACACGTCCACACATCCGGTAATAAAAATCAAACCTGAATTGTAATGTGCTTAATTACTAAGCAATTGAGAGGTAGATCTCAAGCCTCAAGGTGGGTAGCGGTATTGACGTTGCTATGTATATGGGCTCCGGTAACCACTGAAGGCTAAATACACCGTGGGCTCTCGTCTGCCCATATGCCAAATAATAATAAATGTAAATTTCCTTTGAATTAATTTATATTGTATATGTATGTTATATTGTATATATGCAAGTTTTTAGTTTCGCTTTCGTGATTTAAGTAAAAAGCTTTTCCCGAAAAAAAAAAAAGCACATCACACGATCGTTCGACACATCAGAACTCGGTAAGGAAAGCCACTCACAATAATGATATGCATTAGACGGTCTACGTATTAATCTATGTCATTAAGGGAAGCGAGATGGAGGATTAAAAAAAAAAACTTCAAAGAAATGGAGGTCAGTAACTGGACCGCGATCACGGTAGCTCAGTACTGAGTGCGGGTGGGTGATAGTTTGGATCGAGACGATTCTTTATTACCTGATTACGGTCGAATTAAATGTTTTTTTTATGGGTTAGATTTGCGGACGAGCTCACAGCCCACCTGGTGTTAAGTGGTTATTGGAGCCCATAGACATCTACAACGTAAATGCGCCACCCACCTTGAGGTATAAGTTCTAAGGTCTCAGTATAGTTACAACGGCTGCCCCACCCTTCAAACCCATGTAGGCAGACGAGCTGCGGCCCACCTGATGGTGAGTGGTTACCGTCGCTCATGGAAGTCAGCAATGCCAGTGGCAGAGTCAAGCCGCTGTCTACCGCTTAATACTCTCAGCAGGCCTCGTTTGAAGAAGGATATGTCATGGCGCTCGGTAAACACCGTGGAGGGGAGCTCATTCCAAAGCCGGACGGTACGTGGCCAAAAAGATCTCTGGAAACGCACTGTCGACAAATATACAGCATTTAATTGGTGGCGCATCGTAGGCTTCATAGATCGATGTCGCCATCTTGTTTACTTCTGCGAATTTGAAGGATAGAACAATTAATTGGTTAACCAATTAATATCGCTTCCACCGCTCGATTACACTTTAAATCTAGAGCAACTGAGTATTCCAGTTTGATAGCTGTTATTCTAATTAATTGATATTCCTACTTCATCTTTACACCATATACTTATAAATGTGTGATTTATGGGAAAAGGATAAAGGGATAAATGTTCAAGTTTGAAATCTCATCAATCAATCAACTGAGCGCGATACTAGTAGCGCCACGTGTTGCCGCAATATTTGAAATAGTCATTTGTGAAAACTTCAGCAGTTGGCGGTGATTCCATATTTCTTTAAAACTTTAAAATTCAATAAAACGGAGCTATCGTATATTGTGTACACACGCAAAGCTATTTTTACGATTTAAATAAATAAATAAAAAACGTTAATACTACAAAAAATCTCGATACAACATTACACGCTGTCGTACCGGAGCGTATGTATGCCTGTGTAAACACTCCGCGAAGACGTGAACAATATAAGGAAAATAGTACTTAACGCGGATATGCCTTATAATTTAATGGCAAAATTAATACTAAAATGTTTTAATAAATATCATATTAGCAGCCAAGGATGTGAATATTAGCTTGTGATTCTCGTTGTTTAATTGAACAATAATAAGTATTCATTATCCGTTGAAGTAAGGTGAATCAAAATCACCAGTTACCATATCATGTATATCATACAACTTTACTGACTAGGGTTCGCCCGGCGATCGAAATTCGACTATAATCCCTGATGGGTCCCTGATGGCCTCAGGTTTCCGACTCATCTTATCACTCATTTTCGGTAGGCAGCGGCTTGGCCTCTGGCATTGCTGAAGTCCACGGGCGACGGTAACAACTCACCATTATATAGGTATAAGCCGTGTGCCTATCTGTCTAAAAGGGCAATAAATAAGAAATCAATTTCGTTTTACGATTTTCTTTTTTATTCTTAAAAGGGTGGAGAAGATAGCTCCTACAAATGTTTTCAATATTTCATACTAATAAGCTAAACGTAAAAATAAATATAAAATATAAAAATAAAATGTCCGTTAACGAACTGATCGAAAAGCAACTAAACCGTTTTAGCTGTGCCAAATAATATTTAAATGAG